CAGCTGCTGCCGCTCTCTGAGAACATTCTCCCCTCTGCTGTTTCTTTGCATCTCTGATCACAGATTCTATGTCCTGAGCAGGTGCAGCCAGCTGGCTAATCCTCCATCCATGTCTGCTGCCAGGGAAGCTGGGAAAGGAAGTATCTGGCATTTTCCAGCATCTGTATTGGCAGGCTAGCTCTGCCTCCCACTGAGGCTGTGAAGGGGAGATGGGGGTTCAGATGCTGGGCAGTCAAACAAATGAGAGCTAGCTGGTAAGATGAGTACATGGCCATCAGTCACTCTTGTTAATCCCTGCCAGGGTCCAGTAGTGAGCAGGTGATTATCCCTCGGATGCCAGCAGCTGCTGCTGTCAGTTTGCTTCTGGTCACTTCACCACTTTCCCTAAGAGGGGCTGTCAGAGGCTCCAAACTATATGGTGATTAACTACTAGGAGTTCATGTACATGCCTTCACCTGGTGCAGCTGGACTGATAGGTGGGGCTGCCTGCTCTGTGTTTTATGCTCTTCGGGCGTGGAGGTGGGGTGGGTTGGAAGGGGCTCATAAAACAGGCAAGGGCAGCTTGTTTTACGAGCTCCAAGGACACAATGACTTCAGAATTCAAAAAATCAGACCAGCAGTTGGCTTTTCTCTGTATTTGATGGAGCAAGTCAGAAGTTTGGCCTTGACTTTGGCAAGAATGTGATATGACAGCATCCTTTGCCTGGATTGATGACCCATCTCAGTCGTTTCATCCGAGTTCTTTGGTCACAGGCAGATGTCCAGTCTTGACTGCGACTGTAGCGTCTGTCTTTAATTTTCACTTCATTTATTTAGAATTCTAGCTACAGCCATGCTGGCAGCTCCAGACACCAGTGTCCCTGTAGACAGGGCTCTGGCAGATTCCAGGGGAGTCTACACGTCCCTGGAGGCAGTAGAACAAAAGGTAAACAGCTATTTATGTCAGGTGAAGCCAAACTGTTTCTGAGGGTCTAAATGGCAACTGAGAAAAATGCATTAGTCAAGGTTTTTAAGGCATATAATTTACCATCAGAGGTGTTTACTTGCTCCAGCAACAAACCAAGGACTGCATTAGGAAACACCTCTTTTGCATTTTACACCTTTTAATATAATCTCAAATTCTAGAATGCTTTAAAAAATCACCTGGGTCACATAGAGCTATGGGGGAAGGGGCTGAAACTTCCTTTTTCACGTGTGTTCCAGTGGTTGGGGGCCACTTTGAGTGGCTGTGCTATATCGCTTGATTCCTCATACACAGTCCAGGGAGAGGCGAGCCAGCTGAAGACCTTTAAGAGAGAAGGCAGACCATTTAAATTACGGTTTTCTTCAAACTAAATCGCCTCATTTTCAGACACGACTATTTTATTTTTCAGGCCTTTTATTTTTAGCAGAAACGTTTTTTATTTTACACCCGTGAAATCTTACTCAGAAACCCAATCTATAAGTCAAATCAGGGTTCTGTTCTCGCTGAAGTGATTATGGCAGCCAAAACTCACAAACCACGTAGATCACACCCCTTGCAAGGCCCCCCAAGGTACCCACACCACAGATCTGTGGGGCTCAGTGCGACAGGCCTCAAGTATGGACGAGATGTCCCATCTGTCCCTAGCTGAAGGAGGTGGACATTGTTGACGCTCTGTCTCTCACACAGGTGGGCAGTAAATAGATATTGGATTAGAGATTGTGACAATTTGGGAGACACCCAGTGGCTTCTGCTTTGCAGGGATCAGGGAAACCTAAATTTGTCAACATTTTTTCCTAGTTCCATCCCTCTTTAAATGCTTTATATTCCATATAGTCATAGCAAGTTTCTGGCAAACTCAAAATTTGAGACAGCTGGTGAATTGAATGAAACCATTTGTCTATAGAGGAAACTAGATGTTACAGAAATAAACTTTTTGTGTTTTACTATGAGCTGCCCTAAATCCACTTGGAAAGTGACTGGGGTGTAAATAATCAATAATACCAAACGAAGTTATACGGAAATCAAGATACATCCACTTCCAGCTGAAGGCCCAGACGGAGGGTGAGAAGGTACCATCATGGCCAAAAAGGATGCCTCCTGGTGGTGGAGAGAGGCAGGAGAGTCACAGAGCAATTGTATGTGGTTATGTGTCGGTTGGTTGTTTTTCTTTATTCTTCTTCTGTTATGAGTAAAGAGAAAAAAGAGTTCTGAAAGCAAGAAGACTGAGAAAGCAAACTGAAGTGTCTTCCCTAGATTTTGACTTGAAAGAGAAAGAACAGGTCTTGGTGGCTGAAACAGCAAAGCCAGGTGGAGGCTGACCTGTAAGGTGCTCTTCAAGGTGAAGCACTTTCAAGGCCAAATTAAGATTTGTCGTGAGTAAACAAATTGACCATAGTTAGAAAGAATTGGTTTAAAAAAAATTGCTTCTCACTGGTAAAGCTGATGCATTTACCTTGTTAGGAAAGCTGTGTTTTTCAGGTGGCTCGCTCAGGTATGCTTCATGCTCTGCCAGCCACATGTTGATGGCTATTGCCTCACCTTGGAGATGTGGTACCTAAAACTGCAGGTCAGGATTTGTTTTGGTGAGTTATTTTAAAGGTTAGAGAACCTCTGTTGAAGGTCACATCTGTAAAACTGAGGTCCTAACTGTCCTGCTCGGCAGCCATTTTTGGTGGGTGAGTAAATGGGGAGTATAGCCTCCCTGTTCCCTGAGGCCTTGATTTTCCTCTGTTGGGATTGAAGAAGATCCCAATAAATAGAACTTCTTATTCTGCCTAAGGAAAAGCAATATAGAGAGACAAAGGAGTCAGGACTTGGAGCTTAAAAATATCTCCTTTGTTACTAATAATGCAGATACTGTAGTGTGTGGCTTGTATCTGTGGGTAAACAATTTCCTGATCCCAGACCTGAGAAGTAGGCCTCCTAAGTGATGGCTGTGCTGGACACTGCCGGCTCCTGTCTGTGGAAGGAGCAGAGCAAAATGCAGGGTCTCTGCCCACTGGGTGGCTCCAAAGAGACAGGAAAGGTGAGGAGGTCTGCCAGAGTTACCAAAATTTCCTGGCTCACAGCCCCTGGGTATCTCAGCACATTTTTACTGTGCTTTTAGGCCAAAAGAAATACCTAACAGTCCATCTATTAGGAAATTTAAGTCTAAACAGCTTTATAGTAGTAGTAAGCTCCCAGGGCACCATGGCGCATCGTTTGGAAATACAGTCTTCTTCAGAACTCAGCAATACAGTTAAGTCACTCTTTACTTTCTTGGAAGAGTGAATGAGGGTGTGGGAAAAAAGCCAGAAGCAGAACCCTAATGGAGCTTCCTCTGTATGGAAGAAAACTTTAGGAGAGGGAAGAAACATACTCTTGAATCTTGCATTCCCCACCCCACCCCCAATCATCAGAGCATCCAGGTTTAAGCTCAGAATTATCCCAGAGCTGATGTGGCTTCCCATCCTAAGTGACTGGACAGTATGTGTTTAAAAGCTACACCTTCCAGTGTTCTTAGTACCAGGTTCGTCTTTGGAAGGGAAATGGAAAGTGAGGTGATAACCCCAGGGGCATATATAGAATACATTTCTGCAGCTTGCCCTTTGAATTCTTCATGCACCAAGGTCAAATATTATGAAGGCCAAGAAGAAACTTATTTTCATTTGACTTAAGTTAGATGCAGACTGTCAATTCTGTAGAGCCTCTGAGCATACTTTTTTCTTTGCCTTTAACTCTAAATAGAAGCGTAGTCTACAGTGAGAAAAATGAACATCTAGGTCTCTCATGTATATTTTGAGCCCAACAGTAAAATGGCCAGTCCTTTATAATGCAAAATTTCTATTAATAATGAAAAGTAATACATGGTAGATTTCTAGTCATAAGCAACTAAATATTTCCTATGTGTGCTGCTCTTTTAAACCACAGAACCATGCCCAGTCTTCATTTACAGCTTGATTGGTCAAGTGTGCATTTCAGTCAGTCAGATTGGCTTCATCAGTAAAATATCAGTCTTAGCAAAACATGAATTGCTAAATGTGCAAAAAATTAACTAAAGTAGTCAAGTATTTAATTCACTTGTATTAAAATTTTATAGTGCCATACCCAATATATAAAATTTAAGAGTTTGCAAACTATGTCTATAAAAGCATTTTATTTTACCTGTACACCCCCCCTATGCCTCCATCCAAAAAAAAGCCTCCCCCCAAAAAAACCTCCCCACATGGACTACTGGGGAGTTTGCTGTTTTACTGCCTTGGGAGGAGGCATTGTTGCATGGGAGACCTGCAGTGAGAAGACAGGCTGTGGGTGCCATCATGATTGCCTGCAGCAGGAAGAGGGCTAGTCACTCAGTGGGAGATGCCGGTAGAAGCATGCCCATTGGGGGAGACCCAGGGGTCTTCAGAAGAGGCCTGCTAAGCAGGACACAGCCATCCCAGCTTCACCTGCCACACTGCAGACACTCCCTGCTGTCTTTCCCCTCACTGCTCCGTCAAGGCTTACAGCTCCCATCACACTCTGCTTGTCCCCCAGCCCCAGTTCCACCTGGGTGTCCTCAGCTTTGATTCTCCTGTTTGGCTTCTCTCCTCCAGAGGTCCTGACAATGTCAAGGAGTCTCCTCAAAGCCTCAGTTTCCTTGTCATTAAAATAGGGATAATTAATAATCTCTGCCTACCTATGGAGTGATTATGAGGAAGGATCAAATGAGGTTTATGTTAAAGAATTTGGTTAACTGCAAAATGCTATGTAAATGTCAGGTGTTATACATCATTAGCTGGTCTATTCCTCAGCTAAAGCAGTTGCTATGCATATTTGAGTTGCCCTCTGAATGATTCTTTGTCAAGTAGCATATGTAAATGATACTGTTTTTTCTTGCTCGATTATGGTGGCTCCTTTGCCACTTTATGATGTAGGCTGAAAATACTCTTTGGCTCATATCTCTCCCTCTGAACACCCATGCAAGGTCATAATCCATAAAACCCAGAGGCAATAACTCCTTTTAATTGCCAGGAGTTCATCATAATGCAGTCACTTAGACACTTTCCTTGAGGAGCCTGTCTCTGTTTTTGCCACAGAGCCGAGACTGTGTGAAGCTGGGGCCTCCTGCTGAGGGAGAAGTTGTCCAAGTCAAGTGGCCTGATGGCAAACTCTATGGGGCAAAATATCTGGGATCGAATGTTGCCCACATGTACCAGGTGAGTGCTGCCCTGTGTGTGACACTTGCTGAAGGGACAGGAGACACCAGAGGGCAGACAGTATATGGCACCTCTTATTTGATTAAGGAGGCAAAGACTCAATGCCTGATGACCCAGGTATTGGAGTTTTATTACCAAGTTTGACACTGGAAAACTAATAACATTTGATGAATGGTTTAATTGTAAGGAATATAGTTAGGTCAACAAAGTAAATGGCTAGATAGGCTGTTTTCTTCTGTTTCCATTGCATGGGAAGAGACTAATTGGCTGGGTTATCTTACCATAAGCCAAGAAAATAATGGCTGTTCACCAGTCAGCAGCCCCTGAGACAAATGCTCCATTGGGGCAAACTGAAATCGGTGATGTGTCACCACAGTTGTGGCCATTTATCCATCCAGGCTTAAAGGAGTGCTTATTTAATGAAAAGTATAGCTATTAGTTGGATATTCTGTACACGGGGGAACTCTGTGTTTTATAAGAGTGCATATACAGTTAAACAATGAAAACATTTTATCCCTATCAGAAATGAGAATGAGTTAAGCTCTAACAAGGAAGACAACAGAGATGGCACATGTGCATTTATATTCCTTCAGAAAGACTTTTAAAAGGCACAGATTTATTAGAACCAATACATTGTAACATGATGACAGAAGTCAACATTCTCAAGCTAAGCAATAGAGTAAAAACAGGAAAATTGAAGTCAGAGGCGAAAAAGCAAGAAGGTTCAAGGCTGTTAAGTTAAAAACAGCTTGTGAATGATAAGACTGCCAGTGTCAGCAGAGAAATTGTTCAAAGACTGATAAGGGGCAAAGGCTTAAATGGAAGAACCCATTATAAGACACTGCACCAGAACTGGAGCACAGTATAATTAAAAGTGTTCAAAGAAGTTCAGAAAACTTAGGGGAGAACATTTTTTAAGGTCTAGAAAAACTCAAGGGAGTGGGGAGGACCTTTACACACACATTTTTTGTGTTCACATGCATATGTAAAGCCATTTTCCCCCTAGTATTGGTGACAGTGTTAAGTTCCAGACTTAGGTTACTTATAATAGTGTAGGTGCTGGAACTTCTTTGCATCAGAGTGTCCAGAATTAGGCAAAAATTGCAAGCAGGCTAATAATACTGGAAACTCCTAGAAAAGAAGCATTACTACATCATTCAAAAGGAGAGAATTTACATTTAATTAAACAGTAAATGCCAAAGTGAAGCATCTTACATATAGCAAAGCTATTAGCTACATGAAAAGGATAATGAGAACAAGTTGAAATTCAGGCTAATTAGTAATCAGTGTGTTAACTTCAGTCGAATTTATGATGGCCCATCAACATAGAACTATGAGCATATTTATAGACTCAATGAAAAGTTAAGACTAATATTAAAATTGTCTCTCAAGTACAAGTAGTTTAAAATTCATCATTAAACCAAGTGGCCTTTTGAGAGCATTTGGTGTTTTGAGCCTAATTATTCAACCTCATCATTGAATAAGCAACGTCATTTATAAAACTAGATGTAACAATAATACCTACTACACAGTACTAAATATCCTAAGTATGTGCAGTTTTTTTTGACTCTCTCAGTAGCCCTGCAAGATAGGTTGACTCTTATTTTACAGATGGGAGGGATAAGACTTGGTGAACTTAATAATTTTGTCAAGAGTACACAGCTGGTAAAGGCAAGAGCCAGAATTTCCTCTCAGCTCTTCCCCAATTAGGGCAAACAACCACATCCGAGTGTGCAAGGGACTGTCCTCAACTTTAGCACTACAAGTCCTGCATCCCAGGGGACCCCCTTGGTCCCAGCCAACCTGGATGGTTGGTCACCATACCAACTTTTAAGTTTTATAATTGCCTTTTTATCCTGTAGAATTTTCAAATGATCTAAAAGAGAAGAAAGGCACAGGTATTATAGCTATGCTATCAAATTGTATTTTGAAGATAACACCTCAGCCTAATTAAATATTAAAGAAGCCATTCTGTTAAAACAAGGGCAGAAAGAAGAGCCTTCCACCTTAGCCTTCTGGGAAGTCACAGGGAGAGGTCTCCTGTGACCAAAACAGTTCAGTCCCACTGTTTCAGCTTAGTCAAATGTGAGCAGTATGTGATAGTAAGTTTAATTATGTATTTTATCTTTTAATATTTTTTAAACTTCAGTAGATTTTTAAAAATTAACATAGCATAGCTGCATGGTTTAGCTTGTCTTTTAACTTCAAAGTGGAAGCATGTTTTTATTCTTTTAAAAGAATTCAGACAAACAGCTAAATTAGGGACTTCAAAAATACCCCAAGTGGTTCAGAGCTAGAACATACTAGATATTCTTCCTGATGGCATCCCTTTTGTGGTTTTCTCCTAGATGAGTTCATGAGTGATTAAACCTAAACCAAGAACAATCACTTTAAATAGGTTTCTGTTAGCCAGTGTCACTTTTTCTCTGACAAAAATCTTGTTCAATGTTGAAAAAACTAGTATTACCTGCTGCTATTTGGTTAGCTTGAAAGGAAAGTGTCGAACATTTTCATGTTTGATGATAATTTTCACACACTTAATGTGATTTACACATTAAGAGGTTGCAGTTTCCCTGGCCGTTTGGTTGAATTTGACAAAAGTGAGTTTTGAAAGTTTAAAATTCTCTAAAAACTTGAGAAATTATTTTATCTGGGAAGACTGTTATATAAAAGTAAATATATCACCATTTCTTCCTCAAAGAGAAACACTTCTCCATCTTATATTTACCAAACTGTACTGACAGGCCCAGCCTGTCTTGATGTTCAGTGGGCTACATTCTCATGTTCTGAGAAATAATTTGAACAGCAGCTACTTTTCTTTGTTTTTTGCTCTCAGGGGTAAAGTTTTCATATCACATGTTTGAAGATACTCATTTTCAAGAATCTTGGCCTGGTTGAAAGTATAATTTGTTCCTAGTTTGATAAGGGAAAAACCTTTTTCTCCTTCATTGGCTGTTTGTCCTTTCTGCTTGAGTCCTTTTTTCCCTTTTTTATGTAGTTCATTGGAATCCTGAAAAAGTATGGTGAATTCCTGTTTGTTTTTCAATACATATCATGTCTTACTTTTCATTAGGTTGAATTTGAAGATGGATCCCAGATAGCAATGAAGAGAGAGGATATCTACACTTTAGACGAAGAGTTACCCAAGAGAGTGAAAGCTCGCTTTGTAAGTGCTGGCAAATTCCATTCAGAGATCTACCATGTGAATCCCTCACCCTCTCTGTTTCCCAAGCCTAGCAGGAAAGATACTTAGGCCTTTAGATTGATTTTGAAGAAAGCCAGTGCAACTTTTCCCCTATTGAAACTTACTGAATGCAAACCTCAAATTTGACCCAAAACAGGGAAAGCAGGCCAGGTTCCTTATTTTTCTTTCTAATGAGGTCAAATGATATTTCTTTGTGTTAACATTTCTTGGCATATAAAAATAGTTGTTAGATGTGTGTTCTGTGCAATGCATTGGGAACGTATAAAAGATACCATCAAGACATTTGCAGTCTTGTTAGTAAAAGCAACATTAGAAAAAAGCTTTCAATAATAAAGGTAACTTGATATAAGTAAACATCTGGTTTTCATGGTCTTATCATATATTAACATCTCTCTTAGAAACTCATTAATGTTTGTGTCAGTTCATATTTAAGCTCTCATTTTATAACAAAAAGAATAAATCCCAAATGCTAGTTGTGAAAATACTAAATCAATTTTTTAGTTTCAAGCCCTATACATACCACAAATAATTAGAAATGAAGTTGTTAAAAAATGTAATTCACAATAACATAGTTTTTATTATCATATCATAAACTATTTAGTGGACCCTGAAATGAAGTCAGTTTTCCTCATTTAGAATTGCATTTACTGCATCTGAGAAATAATTCCTGTATAAGGAAATTTGAGTGAACAGGATTTTTCTGACAAAATGAATTTTTTTTTCTGAGTAAACAACACCCTTAGATTTCAGTGTATGCTTGTAGTATACTTTCCTGTAGTGATAGAGTTACCATAGATTAGTTTGGGAAAAGACCCACAATTTTCCTTGAATGTTCAGTTGTATATTTGGCTCATTTCCTATCAGGTGGGATCTTGAGAATAAGGTAACTGCAACAACTGACTTTTCTTCTCAGCTGCGTACTTGAGCGGAAGAGAAACAGTCAAGAGAAGAATGTTAGTAATAGTACTGCTGCCCGCCCAGTGAGAAATGTGGCACAGAGACCCACAGGGCTGAAAATAGATTAACCACCAGATAACCAACTGTAGGGAAAGTGAAAATCAGATATTCCTACTGCAAAGATATCAGCTAAATCCTGATGAAGTTCCCTGACACTTGGATAACTTGTCAGTGTTAGAGGTCTTAAAATCTCTTGATAACTTTCCTTTTCAAGATGGTACAGACGACTGCCTCTCATCCCATGCTCCTGTCTTCCACGCATCCTCCCTCTTCTCCACTCTCCTCACCTGCTTTCTCTCCCCTCTCCTCCCCTCCCTTCCCTTCCCCTCCCTTCCCCTCCCATCCCCTTCCCTTCTCTCTTTCTTTCTTTTTTTTTAAGTTTATTTTTTATTGCCTAATGATTTAAGAATGGGGAATAGAGTAGGTAGCCATCTGGAAGTCATTCACGTCTGTGATTTTCTTATCCATGTATGGTTAGGCATCCAACCTGCTGGGTCTTAAAGATTTCAAATACTATTTCTTAATCCCATTAAAAGAAAGCTTTTTACTTTATGGTGGGATCACAATCTCTTTGTTCCCTAACAGGTTTGGCTCCAAAACCGGGATGCCTTTCCATGTAGCTTGATTTGAACATGGCTCCTGAGTTTTGTCAGATCCATTTCTCTGAACAGTTATACCAACATTCAACTTTTTTTTTTAATTCTCAGAGAATTTATTTTAATTAAAAAAGGCACTGAAGAATACATAAATCACATATGTATTTTGATATACCTGTTATGTCAAACCATTGAGTCTAGAAGAAAATATCTTTAAGAAAAAATGCTCACGATCACTAAATCCAGTCTGCCATCTCTGTTTTTATTGAAGACTTAGGCGCTCCTATTGTAGCAAACCAGCTTTTCCTTCAGGTTGGTGTATCCCCCTCTGGCTCCTGGCTAGTCTGTCTAGGACTGCAATTTTTTTTTTCCAGTTGATAAAACAAATCTAATTGGAAAGCTCATTGATGGAAGATATTTTATGATTAGAGTAATGTCTTTTGTTTTTTTAAGGAGGTGTAACTTAGCAGTACTCACTGGGAAGCCTTCATGTTGTAATGACTTCTGCTCACTCAGACACACACCGACTTGGGAAGAAATTTTTCAAGAGAGTCAGCAGTCCACCTCGGTGATTGTGCTGGGTTCTTTCCCACTAGCTTCAGAAATGGCCCCATTACCTTTTATTGTCTCTCAGAATAACCATAGCAATGGTGTATAATTAACTAGAGCTGCTGGTAAATAGGTTTTATTATTGTATTTCAGAGCCTGACTTACACTGTTCTTGCAGTAGCAACACTTTCATAGATGTTTTATTTTCTCCTTTGATAACTTTAGCACTTACAAGAGGGAAAGAGTACTCAGAGGAAGTACTTTTCCAAGAATGAGTGAAGCAAAATGTTTTAATGGCAGGGGGTGCCTAACCAACCCATAGTCCCCTAGTTTTCTTCTGAGTAAAACAAGGAAATATCTGGGGAATCCGTGAGGTAGGCTGTTACCCTGGACAAACCGTCTCATGAACTGGCAGGGAACATGCCCAGCCATGCGCTTAGGTCCATTTTTTAGTGTTCAAGCTTCCTTATAACTCTTCCATTGTTTATCTCTTCTTCATGATTGACCATGTGTTTTTAAGCCTTTTGTTGGACTCTGCCTCTGTCACCAACCTGCCAGGTGGCTTCAGTGACACAGTGACATGCACTCTGAGATGATGGTGTTATCTAGTGTGATCCACCTCAGTGGAAACCAGTTGGGAACACATTTTAGGAGGCAAAATCATAGGAAGCAAAAATAGTGCTTTAATGTAGACTTTACCTGAGCATAACAGAAAAAGCCCACATTCATCCGCCCAGCTAACACTGAGCAGTAATTGTTACTTGTTGTTGAGCATGTTACTTGATGTTGAGCCCAAATGTAAAATTCGATACTCAGTCCCTAATATCTTCACCCTCAAGGGGTTCAAGGAACCCCCAGTGGGGAGAAACTCACCTGCTCCTCCTCTCTGCCACCACCCTCATTCTACTATGTGGACATGTAAAATGATACAGGAACCCAAAAGAAGGGTCCTCATGTTTGCCTGTGGCAGAGAAGATAAAGTATCTGTCATGCAAAGGCAACAGTGTCTAAAGGCAGAAGAGCACAAGCCAGTAAAGTGTGAGTAGGCACTGCAAATAATTCAGTCTGATCGAGCATAGGGTAGGGTATGCCGGATTAATTACATAAGCCAGCTGGGGATCTTGAATGTCATTTGAAGGCAGGAGGGCTATTTAAAGATTATAAGCTGGGGTGTCATGTAATAAGAAAGTTTTTAGAGAGTTTTCTTCTAGTAGTTCTTTAGAAAATAGCCCAGGAGTGTAGCATTTGATGTAGTGATTTATGAGGGGAAGTGTGAGGGTCTGCGTCATGGAGTCAGTAGGGATAAAGAAGAAAGGATGGAGGGCTTTGAGGTACATGTAGGAGGGTCCTGGGCAGGGTGGGGACAGGGGAAAGTTTACATGACTTGTAGGTTTCTATCAGTGTAGCTAGGTGGATGGGGTAGTGTGTCATTTATGGAATATAGGAAGGACAGTGATGGAGAAGGAAGATTGAGTATAATAAAGGACTAGTTAATTCAAAGTGCCTCTAGGATAAGCACTCTGAGGTGCCTGCTGAGCAGTTGGAGTTGCAAGCCTGAGGACAGGAGGAGAGCTGATCTGGATGTGAGCATCGTTGGAATGCAGGAATAGAAACCGTGAATGTGGGTTCCAGGTCTGGGAGCATATGTGGAGAGGAGGCCACATGCAAAACCCTAGGGGCATCAGAGTGAACAAATAGTTAAGAAAAGGGAACCCTGAGATATCAACAGTAAACATCTGGAGGAGAAGAAGAGGCAGGAGGAAGGGTTTATAAAATGACAGAGAAGGGAGCTTCTGGCAATAGTTGTGGGGGCAGAGGCCCAGAGGTAAACAGGAACAGGAGTGAGTTAGAGATGACTGTTGTCAAATCTGTCAAAAATCAGGGTTGGGCAGGTACGTGAGGGAGATTTAACTAAGACTTTAATCCTGCTTCTGCTGTGGAAAGTCTCTGGGGTTTGGAGTTCCTGAAGAAAGTCAGTCTAAATGCAGGCAGGGGCCTGGGGCAGGTGGAGAGGCTCCTCGGGGAGAACTGTGTACTCTGGGTGGGTGACCTGGCCTCTGCCCCAGCCCCCAGCTGGCTGAATCGGATCTTTGTTCATTCTTGTCATGGACATGCTGTGCCCTTCTGAAATGTAACATTGGCTCTTTTCTAGTCTACAGCCTCCGATATGCGATTTGAAGACACATTTTATGGAGCAGACATAATCCAAGGGGAGAAAAAGAGACAAAGGGTGCTGAGCTCCAGGTTTAAGAACGAGTATGTGGATGACCCTGTGTACCGCACTTTTTTAAAGAGCTCTTTCCAGAAGAAGTGCCAGAAGAGACAATAGGCTGCATATGCTGCTGTACGCAATGGAGCATCTTACCGGGAGAGCAAAGATGAAGGGACAGCCTCGGGGCTCTGCTCTGCACTTGGCTGGGGCAGGTGATGAGGTGTGTCTCTGATGGTGGAAAACTAGGCTTCAAGAGTTTGGTTGCCCAAACCAGAAAATGCACATATTATTAAGTGGATATAACAATCTGAAGTCATCGCCTAGTCTTGCTTTCACTAGTGAGCAATTGTCTTCTGTGATCCCAAAGAGTTTTTCTAAGTGCAACAAAGAATAGTAGTGAATCACCCACCAAAAGGGTCCAAGGAGATGGGTCCCTGTGTGGTGTGGGCCCCTAGCCAGGCAACACATGGAGATGTCTCTCCCAATCCTGGCATGAGAGCCTTGGTAACTGGGTACAAGGGTGATTGTTTATGTATTTTCCGCAGTCAGGGAAGGACTTATTTGTTTTAAATGGCAGTTTTTATAAAACATTTTTAAAACATACATGGCCTGTATTGCAATGAGATTTACCCATGTGCTGTGTGTTTCCCTTGTACAGAACTTTTACATTTTTTATATCCCTATTACTTTTGATTGTGTTTAATAAGAACTGAGTTGTTGGCCTTTGTGAAATTTTTGGCTCTTGAGAAAGAATTGTTATGAATTGTATGGGAATTTTATATATTTAAAGAGGGAGATCTGGGGCTGTTATTTTTAAACACTTTTTTCATAATATTCTGAGTAGATATTTATAAAATAAATGTTTCTTTATGTGTTTGTAAAACTAGAGTTAAAATAAATATGCTTTGATTCATAGTTTTGAACTAATATGATTTTTCCTTTTTAAAACAGCCTGAAAATGTACTAGTATTTAATACAATATTTAAAAAATAAAGATTTGCATTTTCTCCAATTGTGTTTTTTTATTTGTCTAGGTTTAAACCTAGTAGAAATAGACCTAATAGAAAAACAAGTTTTGTTTGGGAGCTGGCTGTCAATGCACATCAAGGCTTATCAGACCCTTCTTCCATCACCTGCTTTTTATATAACTGTGGACACTCGCCAGACATTTATGGTGATGTCACTGGGGACAGAGGCCCCTCTGCCTGCCCACAGTGCCAGCTGCAGCACTTTCCTCAGCTCTTTCCTTTAGGCCTTGAAGGAGTTGGAGCCCCCAGAGGTTGGAGTTCTTTCATCCCAGGTTTCTTGTTCCTTAGTTACCACTAGAAGAGTCTGTATGGACCCTTCAGAGACTCCCCTCACTTTGTAGGTGAGGAGTGGAGAGCAGGCAGGGAAAGGAACTGCCCAGAGCCACCCAGTCCTTGTGACTACGTCAGTATTAACTGTGGCCATAGTGATGCTACATAACAAACACCCACAAAATCTCAGGGGCCTGCCTCGGGAAGGACTAATTTTGCTTATGAGTCTGCAGGTTGGCTGGTCTAGGCTGGACTTGGCTGGAAACTGTGCTGACTTGGGCTCAGATAGCTCACATACCTGCTCCTTGTGTCTCCTGTCATCCCACTGGACCCAGTGGGCTACCCCAGGTATGTCCTCTTATGCCAATGGCAGAAGCCAGAGAGCAGCTGCAGGGAAAATGGGAGTTCCTATGGCCAGGATCCTCACCTGACCCTAATCTACTTGACTATGTGTTCGGCCTACTGCTAAGCTGATGCTCACACACCCATTGGCAATGAGCTGTTATTGTTGGTGTTACTATATAAAGAGCTCTACCCGGTGCTCTGCCTGGAGGTAGAGACAGAGACAGATTAAAACTTGAGGCCTGCCACTTTGAGAATAAAGCTTCGTATAAACCTATAAACCCTTTTATGCCTAAGGGTTCAGTTGTTGTTATTCAGTCTCACTGCCTCTAGAGTGAACTTGCCCAGGGGCAGTCCTCTCAGGCAAGACAGCAACCAAGCCCAACCTCATGAGTCGTTTCAGTCCCGTTTGTAATGTTTAAGATGCTGTTAGTCAAAGCCCAGAGCTGGGGATTGGAGGGCATTTCAAAGTTTCATGGCAAAGAGTGTGGCTTACTGTGTTAGTGGGTAGAGAGTGAAGAACTGAAACAGTAATGGCAGAGCCATGGTTAAATCTCAGCTCTTCAGTCCACTCCCTGGTTAAGTGCTCATTTTCCAGAGTGCCTCATGGCTGAATTCAGCACTGGGGAAGAGCCCACCAGCCTTATTTTTACAGGGACTGAGCACTCCACATTTTCTACCAGTATAGTTATATATTTTATCAAGTAATCTAACTTGCATTTTCTATCTCCAGGTTTTGAATGGAACTGACCTGCTCTCTGCATGATATGACAGAAAAGTAGGCCTGTGTAAGGCATTAAGAAGAATTCATCTAAGTAGGATTATTTGTTCTGTACAAGTTTGCCTGTCAGCAAGATTTCTGATTGGCTGCCATAGGGAGAAAATGTGCAGAGGCCTATGTGATCTCAGATACAGCTGTTTTTTATGGTCTTACTTAATTGACGTCCCTGTAACCAAGTACAGCTGTGTATGTGGCCTTAGCACAATAGTGCCAGCCACAGATGCACTCTGGCACTCAAGAAAGATATGTTTGTTTCACTGCATGCTGCATTAAGTTGGTATTAGCTCTATGACCAGACATTTAAAGCCTTTTCACTTACTATATGACATTTCATTTGTAATTTTAATGTCTTGGTGTTACAGTAGCTGCATTTTCAATGTGATTTGTATGAAATCAGTTGAAGTCTAGCTTTTAGTATTAAAAAAATTGCTGTCTGTGACAATTCTAATGTAAATCTAATTGCAAGCCCTTTCTCTAGAGGTTAGAGGATTAGTAAAAACTGCCTGGCATATTTCACAACATTTTGGTTCCTTTATGGATGTTGGAAATGAGAACAATATGATCATTGTCAGTTTACTTTTATTAACGTACTTTCGTTAGTTCATCTAGAGGGAAATTGAGAAAAAGCATCCACTGAAATGCCACATAGCTTCTCAGAATACATTGTAAATTGCTGCTGGATAATACTAGGTACTACTGGGTGTTAGTGTATGAAAACATGAGAACTCAGAGTACAAAAATATGTGGGAATGAATGGATATACCTCTTCTCCCTGTTCCCATCCAGTGTGCTATGTGTGTATTACTGTAAATGACCTGGAGAGCTTATGAGTAATCATATTGGAGTAGTATATGCTGCAAGATAGCATTATGCTTCATTTTTGCCTTTAAGTAAAAGGGATTTGAAATGAAACAACCTTCATTTCAGATATTAATCAGCCCTGTAAACTTGAAGCAAAGTGAGTTCCTGAGGCGTTTCATTACATAAGTAATTGGTTGGGTGCAAGACTCAGTTGTGCTTTAAACTCTCCCTGAAGATCCAGATGCACAGTCACTGCAAGTGTTATGCCTTCTCTCACCCAGCCTGTCACAGAGACGTGACACTGACTCGTAGGGAGAGTGATTCCTGGCCCCTGAGGAGGCCATGAACTCTTCAGCAAATAGACTGATGACTCAGAAATTCCTTGATTCATCCTCACAAGGTGTAGGACCCCTTGAAGAACTGGAACTTAATCAAGAGCAGCTCATGTTAATGATGTATTGAGTATCTGCTGTGTGTACCTGGCCTGGTAGGCTCCTTAGTGGAGTTTATCTTGTTGGTCCCCAACAAGTCAGCAAAGCATCGTTCCCCTGTCTTGCTAACAAAAACTAAGGCTCAGAGAGGTTAAGTAACTTTGGAATCACTCAACCTTGTCAAGGCATGAAGAAAAAAATAGGATTCTAAACCTGAAAAAGACATTGCATAGATGAGTCTGAAGCTCTAAAAACAGGTTAGCACTAGAGATGTAAATGAAAAAGGTTCATCTTTATGGGTAGATGTTTAAAAATATGTGAAGCTTACCTTCTGGCAAAGACAGAACTATAAGGACAAAGAAGAAATCAGTGGTTGCCAAGAATTGGGTAGGGAGGGGGAATTGAAAACAAAGGGGTATGAAGGAACTTTCTGGTATGGTCAACATTCAAAGAACTTAACACTGAAATAAGGTGGATTTTACTATAAGTAAATATCACCTCAATAAACCTGGTTTAAAAATAAATAAATAAATAACATCTAAGGGGTGGTGGGCAGCTTGCTTAGGGACAGAACATGTTGCAGGAGAAGAGGATGACAAGTGAGCGGAGCTCAGAACCTCAGGGAACAGCTAGATGCAGATGGGTGGGGAAAGAGGACCCTGTGATGGACACTGGAAGGGGCCCCGAGGTGGGAAACCAAGGTGCTGCGGCATCGAGGGAGTGTGTTTCAACAAGGAGGAGCCAACAGAGAGAAAATGCTGCAGAGCCCAAGTAAAATGATGTAATCATTCATTAGATGGCCGGCCAACATTGGCCTTGGTGGGGCATTTCAAGTGGTTTCAAGTGAGAAACCTATTAACATCAAGTTGGTCTACTGAATGTGCAGTGCCTCTCCCTCCTTCCTTCCTTCCTCCGCTTACACCAAACCCCCTTTCTCTCCCACTCGTTTCCAGATGTTTTTCTTTGTCTTCAGTTTTCAGAAATTTGACATGGCATCTTGGCTTTGATTTCCCCAGGTTTATCTCGTTTGGGGTTTGTTCAACCTCTTGACCTTTCACCAAATTTGGGTAATTTTCAGTCATTATTTCCTGGAGTATTTTTTTATCCCCAGATGCTTTGCTCTCTCCTGAGACATCAGTGACCCAGTGTTTGGTCTTTTGTTGTTACATAGGTCCCTGCAGATCTTTTAAGTCTGTTTTCTTTCTGTTCAGATTGGGTGAATTCTGTTGAGCTGTCCTCAAGTTCACTGATCTATCGTCTGTCATCCTCAAACTATTACTGAGCCCATTGAGGGAGTTTTTTGTTTTTTGGGATTTTTTTTGGTTATTGTATTTTTCAGTTCTGTAACTCCCATTTGGTTCTCTTTTATACATTCTGTTTCTTTACTGGAATATTCTATTTTTTCATTTGTTTCAAGCTTGTTCATAATTGTTCATTGAAGCATTTTCCTAATGATTACTTTGAAATCTTTGTTAGTTAATTCCAATGTCTAACTCATCTTGGTATGAGAATCTGATGATTATCTTATTCAAGTTGTGATTGTTCTTGGTATGACAAGCAATTGAGTTGTAACCTGGACATTTTAGGTGTTTTGTTAGAAGACTTTGGATTCTTTAAGTCTTTCCTTTTAGCAGGCAGTCCCCCTGTTTTGGTTTAGTGCTTAGGTCCTGTCCTAGTTTTGCGGGCTGTGATTCTAATGATAATTTAGTTTTCAGAGTTCTTACAGTTCTCTTCCGATCTGCTTTGTCTGTGCATTACCCAGAGGCACTCTGTAAACCCAGGTATTGTTCTGCACTTCAGTTCTCTGACTGCCGGGGCTAAGGTAGGTCAGTTTCATGTGAGTCTGTCAGGGAGTTCTTGTGCAGATTTAAAGAACTCCTTTCTCCAGAACCCGTTCTCCAGGCTCCTTTCCATTCTCTAGTCGGGAAGGTTAGGGGTGCTTCCTCCTGCTGTTAGGAAATCCTGCTCACTCTCGCTGACATCACGCTGGCAGGGAGGGAAATGCCACCCAGGACCTCTAGCCGCTGCCAAGTCAGAAGTGGGAATCCAGGCTCCCCATTAGGTCTTCACGGAGACCCCGCTGGGTTGTGGGGTGGCGGAGGGAAGCACGGCCCCACCTCACTCGCTCCCACTAAGTGAGGGGCAGAAATCCAGACTCCCTGCTCCGTCTCTCCTGGGACCACAGGCAGGGACCATTCATCAGCTTTGATGGGGGCGGCAGATTGTCAGAGAGGTTTGTCCTCCTGTGCTGCTCCTTTCCTGGTCCTTTGATTGTAAAGAGCAGGCTTTTCTTGGGGCTTCATTTTTAATTCTGTGCCTGTTGGTGGTTCTTTTTCACAGGCTTTTCCAGTTCCAACAC